AACCCACGATCCCGGCTTCCGAGCGAGCGAAGACAGTGCATGCCGCCGTAAGTTCTTATTGAAATATTTTCTTATTATCAGTATAAAAATGTAATAAAACGAAGAATGGAATCTGTATTTTATTTTCCCTTGACTGTGAGAAACTTTGATGTTGTCTGAGAGCCTCTAAGTAGCGAAAGTACTACAGGACTGTGCACAGACACAAGTCAACATGTTTCGCATTTCTTCAATTAGACCATTCGTCATCTTCCACTTTCGACACGTGAAAACATTTAAAGGAAACGAGGTATCGTACGGTCTTAGCTGTTCTGCAGGTTATTTCACAACTTGTTAGCAATCTGCATAAGTCGGCCTACGCTTAAGTCGAAATTGATTAGACTATAAATGAGTAAATGTTATTAGGAAAGGTAGGAAAAGAAGCGACCGTGGTCTATTTTGAGGAAGGGCCACAACATTTTCTTAGAAGGATTGATGAAATCCATGAGACCCTTCGGTAATGACAGCCGATCCGAGCCTTGGATTTGAAAGTAGTGTTGCCCAAATACGAGACAGACACTTGATTTTATGGAACTACAATAGATGAAAGCTGTAGGAAATTGCCAGAAATGTTTCAGGGTTATATATTAGAGCGTGCTTCGGTATTGGCGGTGTTGAACCTTCGGTTTATGGCACCAGATAATAAGTTTCTAGGACACCGCGAAAAAAAAATCTGCACACAAAAAGTCAATGAAATTGAAATTAAAAGACTAAAACTTTGCGTTTCCTTTCTCATATCTGACTGAATAATGTGTCACTTTACGTCAGTACCCTACATACGAAGGAGTGCATGCAGTAACAAACTCATTGCGTTGTCCACTAAGTAGCCTATAATATTCAGTCATATAACTGTCAAAAATCTCATTACCACTTTTACTGTTTCTCATAGCCAAGGTGTCGGAATTCGAGTCCCGGTGGGGGCGAAAATTTTCATTTCTCCACGTTGTCCAGACCGATTCTGGGGTCCACCCATCCTCCTATCCAATAGGTACCGGGAAAATTTTCCCTGGGGGTAAAGCGGAAGGGACGTGAAGCTGACCATTCATCTCCAGCTAGGGATGAGGTCAAGAAAATGTGTATCTATACATCCACTCCCCCATACGCCTTCATGGCGTAATGTTTAATTAGTTAAGCACAGGGACACCTTCTTGTTTTTCCCCTTGGCACTACAGCCCCAGTTGGCCTAGGCCTACCTCCATGAACTTTTCCGTTCACTTCGGTTTTTCTAGATCTTACACATTCGGTAGGACTCCTTGGGCGAGTGATCAGCTCGTCGCAAGGCCTCTACCTGTAGACAAACACAGAAAAACGCACACAAACATCCATGACCAGAGTGGGATTCGAACCCACGATCCTGGCTTCCGAGCGAGCGAAGACGGTGCATGCCCAGAGTAACCTTTACCTTTACTAAATAGTTTTTGTTATTGAAGGTTCTTTACTGAATTCACAAAAGCTCTCCACTGTTGCCTACCGTAAGTCAGCTCAGTTCAGTTCACATAATCACAACCAGTCTCCCTGTAGATGAGCGGTTGAAATCAAACCCGCGACCATCTGAAGTCGAACCTTGAATTTTAACTGCTAGACCTCACCGGGCAAGTCTGCTTCAGTAGTAACGGTTCTGACTGGTCTTTGGTTTGTGCTCACTTCAAATCTCAGCCTTAGCACTGACTACCGTTGACTGTGAATTTCGTGGTTTTCATCAGTACCTCCAGACAAATTCCGATACCATAAATTAATCCGCGACTGCTTCTTCCCGTATTCTTTCCAATTCATTATCATCCAGTCATTCGAAGCACATTGACAGCGTCTTAAACAAACTAAAATCAAATTTTATATCTCTAATATGAAAGAAGACCAAGGCGTAGGTGGATTGGATAGATCTGGCTCAGGATAGGACCAGTAGAGGGTTCTTGTGAACACGGTAATGAACTTTCAGGTTCCATAAAATGCTGAGAAATTCTTGAGTAGCTGCAGAATTGGTGGCTCCTCAAGAAGGGCTCAGCTCCATGAGTGAGTAAGTAAGTAAGTAAGTAAGTAAGTAA